CTGATCGTGGCAGTGGTTGTAGAAACTGACATATGTATTAAAATTCATATTACTATGAATTATAACATAATGAATTATATAACATTAAAAAAAGGTCAAATTTACTATATATGCTAATGGTTTTAAAATGTATCGATTATAGGGACACCTGGGTGGCTCAGTTGGTTAAGCATCTGCCTTTGGCTCAGGTCATGATCCCAGGGTCCTACGATCGAGTCCTGCATCGGGCTCCTTGCTCAGCGGGGAGCCTGCTTCTCCCTCTGCCTGCCGTTCCCCCTGCTTGTGTGCTCTCTCTCTTACAAATAAATAAATAAAATCTTTTTTAAAAAAATGTACCGATTATAGATACTAGTGGTTAATTCACTAGGGTGAGCCCTTCAAAAAACAGTGTTAAATGAAGCTCTGTACCTAGAAGAAATTTAATAAAATATGTTTAAAACTACTATTATTTGGGGCGCCTGGGTGGCTCAGTCGTTAAGCGTCTGCCTTCAGCTCAGGTCATGATCCCAGGGTCCTGGGATCGAGCCCCTCATCGGGCTCCCTGCTCCGTGGGAAGCCTGCTTCTCCCTCTCCCACTCCCCCTGCTTGTGTTCCCTCTGTCACTGTATCTCTCTCTGTCAAATAAATAAATAAAATCTTAAAAAAAAAAAAATGAAACTACTATTATTTGATAACATGCTTCCTGTATTATATTAAAAATCTAGGGGCACCTGGATGGCTCAGTCAGTTGAGTGTCCAACTCTTGGTTTCAGCTCAGGTCATGATCTCAGGGTGCTGGGATTGAGCCCCACATCAGGCTCCACACTCAGTGAAGAGTCTATTTCAGGATTCGCTCTCTCCCTCTTCCTCTGTCCCTCCCCGCACTCGCAGGCCCCACCCCCTCAAATAAATAAATAAATCTTAAAAAAAAATCTACACCTCTTCTGTTTAGGTCTATACATATTCAATATTTAATGTATTTTAATAAATACATGCTGAAAAATGTGTTTGACATTTATTGAATACCTACTATATAAGGTCATATATTGCTAGAACCAGACCACTGGTCTTTAACACTCTAGATATATTAAAGATGACTATCCTTATTGCCAAAATGGCATTTGGGAGCTGAAAGGAACCTGCAACAATCGTTTCTTGAATACTGTCTTTGTACAGAACATTATCTTAGAAGCAGAATTTGAAAATGGTTCTGTTCATGGCTATCTTAAAGTCTAACCATGAAGAAAAAGGAGCATTTTATGTGGAAAAAAATAAATAAATAAGAAATCATCAGAACCTGGTTACTGAATAGTTTCATGAATTTGATTATACTATACCATAAATCAAATTATATCTCCAAATCCAAAGACTATAAACTGCACCTTTCACTAGAAAATGGAAAGACAATAATGAAGCATTATGTCTGTCCCCAGACATCAGTATTAGAATGACATTTTATTATAGTAAGACCAAACTACCTTAAAGTTACATATAAAATTCAAAAATTCAAAACAGATGTTTACAGAGGTAGGCACACTACCCTTATTTGATTAAGCAGAAAAGCAACCTGCCAAAAAGTACCAGAAATTGAGACCTAAACATATAGAAACATGGAAGAAATCAAGGGAAGGGGTACAACTGTGCTGAAGCTAGAAAAATAAAGTAACAGCAGCTAACACTTACTGAGAGCTTATTAATGTCAGGTACTATTCTAAGTATTTTTCATGTATTAACTCATTTATTTCTCAAAATAAGATTTATACTATTTACAGCCCTATTTCACAGATATAGACATGAGACATAGAGCAATTAAGTTACCTTCCTGAAGTCATACATCTAGTAAACAGCAGAGCCAGAATCAAAACCCAGGCAGCCTACTCCTGAGTAGGCTCTTAACTGCTGTGCTCTAGTGTCTCCCAGAGAATTATTCCAGTAGTTAATAAGATAAGGAGACAAACGGCTTTCCATGTTAGCAGTATCAAAAAGAAGCATCCTACCAAATCATGCTACTGGGTAACAGCTCCTTGAAGGATGCCCTGTCCTGGGAACCCACTACTGTTAAGACACTTCTTCCATTATAGAAAACATCCACTCCCATCCTCCCCCAGGCTAAGGTATATTACTTGCTATGTCCCAAATTAAATACATATTTATGGTCTATCAAAATATTTAAAGAATACTGTGAAAAAAATCACAGAAACATCTTATTATAACAAAGTCAAAGTCACAATTCCCCCGTATACCCTTTTCGAAGAAGATCATGACTTTCAAAAGGTCCACTTGCTGAAAGTTCCGTAACTGGAATACTGTCCTTTAACTGAGATCCAAGTCCTCTGGCATTCTACAACACAAATAATAACACTATTAAATACAAAAATGTTTTAAAACTCACATTGAACATCTACATAAAAAACAGTTTAAGCACTAGACAAAAAAAAGTAAAGTCTCTGCCCTCAAAGAGCTCACAGTCTAGATGATGAGCCTTGGCATTATGGTAGAGTGATTATACATGGTACACTAAATAATATCAAATTTGGGCGTAGGAAGGATTCCTGAGTTGATCTCTGAATATTGTCAAATTGAAAGGCATTCCAGGAAAAAAGAACATGGGTAAAGAAGGTACAAAAGTATAAATGAACAAGCTATAAGTAGTTTGACCTGACCAGCTAACTACACGTCTAGTGAGGCAAAAATAAAGCAAGGCTGGCAAAATGAAAAAAACAAAAAGGCTTAAACATGCAAAGAAATTCAGGTTTTATTCTGAGATTGATAGAGAGCCTCTGAGGGTTATGGCCTGATCAGATTTACTTTCATTGGAAAGATCCCTCACTTAGGATGGAGTGATTAGCACAGAATGAAAAAAGTTGAAGAAAGAATCCCAGGGAATACTATTCCTTAATGAAGAACAAGGAAGTGGGATTAAGAACAAACAGAATAGCTAGAAGAATGTGGTCACAGAAGCTAAGGGAAAAAAGAGACATTCAGAAAGTATTTGGTTTCTATAACAGGGTTCTCCCTATGGAAAATAAATCTGATCAGCACAGTATAAACAAAACCAAACAAAAACAAAGACTCACAGTATATCTGGTACTGGTGTATTATACCCTACACATCTATACCATAAAACATTTAATCATCAAATATTTATTAAACATCTACTATGTGGCAGGTACTCTGGTAGATGCTGAAGATACATGTCTACCTTCCAGGGTTTAGTCTAATGAAGATAGATTAAGCAAATAAAATGCAATAAACATTACAACAGGTAAAACACAAAAGCTGACTTTTAATCACTTGTTCCTCAAGTACAATATTGCTTTAATTCTGCAGAAAAATGTAAAACAGCTACAGGTATTTTGGTATCCACCTTACACTATTCTAGGAGAAACTATTCTGAGAAACCAGCATTTTAAATTGATTTCTTAATTTATCTGTGTATTTTATTTGGTCAGGTACTTTATCCTGTTCAGAGTTTCTTCGATCCACCACTCTACTTCAGGATCTCACACCTGGATAACTTTAACAGCACTTGACTGGGTCTTGCCGTCCCTAGACTTTTCCATTTTCCAATTCTGCATATCAAGGTTTTCCTAAAACATATAATTTCCCCCACCAAGCTGTTATAAAACTTTTCACTGATTCGCCAATGTCTTCTCTGAAAAATAAAGTCCAACTCAAGAACCTACAAAAGAGTTTCCCCTACACAGAAGTCAAAGTTGATCAGGAAAAGAATCTGGAATCTAGTGTGGACTGTCTCTAACCTACTATGTGACTATAATCAAAGCATACAATCTCTCTGCCCCCATTTACTCATCCTTCCAGGTGCCTGAACTCTTTCCAGATCTAGAATTATATGATTGTACATTTCCAAATGCATCTCCTGGTACTTTCCCACATAAACATTCTCCTCCTCCCAGACTGCTTTATTATAAAATAACAGAAGAAAAGTTTCTTCTATGCAAAAAGAAAAGGAGAATTCGGATTTCTGGGTTTTACTGTTATGATTTCCCCCAATTTCCTTGGTTAAAATATCAGGATTGGTACCTGAGGTTTCTATTAAAGCAGCAGAGGAAAATAAGTCTATGAAAAGTTAAGTACCACTAGACATCAAAGTGTTTATAAAACTTCTTCACAATAATCAGCAATATTACCAACAGAAACTTTCTAGATTTAGATGGCCTAGTATCAGAGTCAGTGGCCATGGCCATTCAGAAGTCTTTCCCAAGCATCACAACTTTTAAGTTAAAAAGAGAGAAAGGGGGTGCACTAACAATCCTGACAAACGAGGAATTACAACTGTCTGATTTTCCCCCCTCCAACTTCTGGAATACTACAAGTTCCCCAAAATGTCTGTAAAGGTGAGAGATAAAAAGGAGACTTTATAGCTGGGTTTGTTAGCAAAGCAGTTCCGAGGTCAGGGGTGAGTGAGGAATTCGAGGGCTCTGGGCCCCCAAGGTTCGACCCTCATGGGAAGGGTAGTTGGCTGAGCCGCACCACACACCACGGAACAACGCTACACTTTCGGATTTGTCCTTGCCAGCTAGGCGCCAACTACCGGGAAGGGGCCGGGGCGTGCTCGGGGACTTGGGGTTGAGTGGGCGCAAATCGAGAGAAACAAGTGAAGGGAATAAAGCCGAAGCGCTGCTCGCGGGACCCGCGCTGGAGCCCATCCCGGACGACAGCCACGAAACCCCCAACCCCGTGACTCGACAGATCATGGCGCCCGAGGCCGGCCTCATCCTCCCGCCGCCGCCGCCACCCCGGGACGAGCTAGGAGGAGGCGGACCATTCCTGCCGGGCCAGGGTCTCGAGCCCGCCGGGAACTCGGGTCGCTCAGGGTCTCACTCACCATCTTCACTTGCTCTGTGAACAGCCTCTCAGCCCCGTTACCGTCAGCCGGCCCCGCCGCTCACTTCCGTTTCCGGGGTTGCCCCCCCACATCCGCCGGAAGTGCGTCCGTCCGGGCGAGGAAGGAAGGAGGGCGCGGGGCGCCGGGAGGGAGCCGCGCGGGGCCGGGGCTCCCACGCCTGAAGTCCCGAGGGACCCGGGGCCAAGGGCGCAGTAAGGGTGTGGGCTGCGAGGAGGGCGGGTTCGGGACGAGACGTGCCGGAGAGGAGGGAAGACGCGGACCTCCGCTTGATTAATAATAAACGTCTACCGTTGGTACAGTATTTGAAGATGTGCAGTGTGCTTTGGTAGATGCATCCCCTTGTTTAATACAAAAGCTCGCTGAAGTAGATACTACATTTTTCGTGAGGGTAAACTAAGCATAGGTGGGATGAATAATTTGCAGTCTTTCAGCTAGTAAGGCAAAAGTAGAACACGAGGCTTTGCCAGTTCATTTTTACAAATCATATGTCGAAGGCCTGCTATGTTCAGAATCCTGTGCCGAGGCTAAGAATACAGAAATGAATCAGGCTGATGCGGTTCCTGGGCTAGAGGAGCAGCGGAACCGTCGGGGGTGCGGGGAAGGGTGATACCGAATGAAGTACGGTTGATAATTACATAGATTGGCCTTCTATTTATAGCAACACAATTGTAAGTGCTTTACATGAACTATCTCCGTTAATCCCTTCAATCATCTTATGTAGTAGGTACTACTGTTGTCTCAATTTTACGGTCAAGGAAAGCCAGACAAAAGTTAAATATGCCGAAGAACCCATAATCCATTGTCATAACATTATACTGTGTTGTCTTCCAAATATAATGTGATAAAATGGACTCATACTCTTGTCACTGTATAATGGAGGTAACTTAAGGAATCCTTGGGCTGATAGTGAAGGGATAGAATGAACTCGTTTGAGGTAGGAGAATATATGAAAGAACATTACTGGCATTTGCTTAGGTAAAAAAATGGGAAAGGAGGTCTGTGTGGCTGAAGTTCAGAAAGTACGGTAGAGAGTAGCGGGAGATGAGGCTAAGTAGGTGGAGGCAAGTTTATTATGGAGGCTTCTGTGCCAATTAAGGATGAGGCTTTAACTTTAAACAGCCATTGAAGGATTTCTGAGGAGGGAGGCGATAAGGTCAGACATGTTCTGTATATCTACAGCCCTGGTCTTACAACCTTGAAGTTCCAGGATAGCCCAGATTTTGAATATTCTGCACTGCTGTCCTTATCTTCTGTCTCTCCATATCTACCTTGAGATTTGAGTTTGAATGTTTCACTTGCATCTTATTCCTTTCACTCAGTCCACCTGAGGAGAAATTTTAAAACTGCAACTCTTAAAAAGAAATCATTTTAATGTTGTTGATTCCTCACAATTTAGTTATTAAGTTTTTGTTGAGCATAGGATTCTGGAGCTAAAGAGAAGAAAAAGCCATTTCCCTATACTTGAGATGCTTTTATTTTCTTGGGGGAATAGACATGGTAAATAAATGTGGTAAATGCTTAATAGAGAAAGGAGTTGGATCAGGAAGTGGTTGGGAACAGGGAAAATAGGCTTTTGAGGAAGAGGAAATGTGGAAAGGCAGAGATTTGCAAAAAGGCATGTTGTAATATGAACAATGAGGATTTCCATGTGTTTGGAGTTCTGGGGGAGTAGATGGAACAAGATGAAATGAGATTGGAAGGATTGGTTGGGGGTAAAGTAAAGGGCCCGTATGGTGTGCTGAGGCTTGGGGCTTTTTTTTTCCCCCCTTTTTTCCTTTTCCTTTTTTTTTCTTTTTTTGGAGAAAATAGGCAATAATGGAGGTCTTTTCACAAACATTTGACGTTAAAAAAAATTATTCTGGTGGCAGCATGAAGAATATACTGGAATTGGGAGAAACTAGGAACCAAGATACCATTTAGAGTGTTGCAGTAGTCCACAGAAGAGATAAGGGTAGAAAGGTATCACAGCACATTGCAGAGACTTTGAGAAGCAGTGAAAAGTAGTGATGGACCTTAAGAAATACTAGAATTCATGAGGCAACTATTGGAAAGAGAGCCTGCTGGGGAGACAAAAAAGAGATGGTCAGAGAATCAGAAGAAAAATCAAAGTGCTATCATAGAATCCAAAGGGGAAGAAAGTGTTGAGCGGTTGAAAAGTAGTTCAAAAGAAAGGTTAGAAAGTAGTTTTAAGATAGCTTTTAAAAGACCATGAAGTCTCAAAAATAGATCTTTGGTGACTGATTGTGAAGGTAATTTCAGTAGAAGAGCAAGGAGGAAAATTGCCTTATTTTGAGCCATATACACACACCCATATTTATATCCTTCTAAAAAGGTTTGTTACAGCATTAACTAATACAAGTCAGTGTTGAGTGTGCTAAAGTAGTTTAAAGAATTAAGTTAGATTGGATATTAGAATGGGTTAATATGTTCGCTTAGGCTTTATGTAATATGGTTTGGAGGATAGACATCTGCTATATGTCGGGCCCTATTCTTAGTTCTTTTTGTTTCAGTTAATCTTCAATTACTCTATGAGGTAGGTACTACTATTATCCACATTTTACATAAGAAACAGGCTCATGTGCGTTGTAGCACAAGTACTCTATTTTACTTTACTTTTTGTTGTCTTCCTTGACTTTACTCTTAAGCTTTTCTGGCAAAAATATTTGTTGAATGCATGTTGTTGAACATAGCAGAAGAAACCCATCTAGAATGCAGGCTGCTGTTGAAACATGGGTGAGAGCATGTGAATGAAGATAGCCAGGCAACAGCTCGGGTTGGTGTAAAAGCATGCTGAGTTGAAAAATGCCCATGGATTGGTTGAGTCCTCATCCCTTCAAAAGTAAAGAAAGGATGGTGTAAAGCAAATGTATGCATTTCATTTTTTTTTTAAGATTTTATTTATTTATTGAGAGAGAGAGCCTGAGCAGGGGGAAGAGGGAGAGGGAGAAGCAGACCCCCACTGAGCAGGGAGCCCAATGTGGGGGCTTGATCCCAGGACCCTGGGATCATGACCTGAGCCAAGACAGAAGGCAGATGCTTAACTGATCCAGCCACCCAGGCGCCCCACAAATGCATGCATTTCAAAGAAAAGGTAGTTGAATGACAAATGATCAAGCAGTAAAGTGGGGAGCAAGAAGTTGGGTTGACATTTTTCTTACTCTGTGAGTTAGGGAAAGTGGGAGAAGGAGTAGACATCACTGGACAGGCTTTTGAGGAAAGTGGCATCATTTATGAGAAAGATAGGTTTCAGTTAGGGCTAAGATGTGGGAAGAGAACTTGTGACAAATTTAAAAATACTGGGAAATCTAGTTGCAATAAACTAGGGAGGTCTAGTTGAATGTTCTAAGGGGCTTAGTAGCAGGCTTTGTGGAAGGAAGACCAGTGAGTAGCAGGTTCAGGGGCTGAGCATTTAATGGTACCAGAGGAGTACAGGGGGTAGAGAAGTCAAGGCTCTCTCCTTTATGCAGTTGATGTGACCGATACACTAGCATAACCTTTAGCACTTCGTTGTGTTGATCTATTTCCACATCTATCTATTTCTTTTCAACAAGCTTCTGCAGTCAGGGGCTATGCCTTACACATTACTGTATCTGTATCTGGCACACAGAAAGCACCAGTAAATGTTTGTTGAATGAAAAGTGTGGGAAGAACAGATGAATGGATAGTTGTGGCTAATAGACAACACTAGGCTAATATGATTGGGAAATAGGTGGAGGTGGACATGGGTGATCCAAGAAAACTTATTTGAAGAAGTTTCCAGAAGCACTTCCCTGGGCCTGGTGCCCAACCTTAAAGCTCAGCACTATAAGCTAAGGCCCTAAATCCTTATCTGGTTCCAATTATCTCCTTTGTCTCAGGGCTAGACTCAACAAAAACTGGCACCTCACCAAAAAGTCTACAATTCTGACATCACTCACTTTAAGAGCCACAGATGTGTGTGTGCGCGCACGCATGCGCGCACAACGTGCCCAGCCTTCCCCTCCCCTCCAGCTACAAAGTCTGGCCAATCCTGCTTGGTCTTTTTTCCTCCCTGTCTCTGACAGTTCTTAGCCAGATGGATTCTTTTGAGCTCTGAAAGCAGAATGGGGGGATTTGGAGAGGGTCGGGCGACAAGGGTTGGTGGCAATGGTTTTCCCTCAGAGTTTAGCATAGGAGAAGCATGAGAGCTCCATTTTTTTAGAAAGATGGGAGGGAGAAATAATTAGTGTAAAAACTCTGTAAATCATATTCTCCCTAAGGTACCTATTAATTAAAACATTGTATGGCTGTGTAAGTTTCAGATATTGTGTTCCCCTATGAGGTTGGGGAGGGAGTTTTTGTGAAGGGGTGGTACAAATCTCAACTAATAAGAAAGTTACTATGGCTCAGAGGACCTGAATAGAATCTATAAATTATAAATAGTACACCCAACTCTTCTTTAAATGATCTAAATTCTTGTAGGGTTGGGGAAGGTTCAGAGTGCTTAATTTCAGATAAATGATATTTACACAACTCTTTGCAAGTCCCTTCATAAGTGTTAAGGGATGGAGAAATACTTTACACCCAGTTTATTTGACAGACCCTTTTCCTTAACCCTAAGAGATGAGTGTTTCATATTTCTTCTGAAATACTTGCTGACTATGATTTCAGATGGAGCTGCTTTTAAAAGAGTGTCCTCTGAATATGAAAAGCTGGGTATTGAAAATAAGTGCTAAAGTGGACTCTTGAATCCAGGTGTTTTATTTTACTATTTTACATCTGCATTGCAGAGGTTAGCATTCCATGTTCCCTGCTTTTGTAGCCCTATTTCAGGTCTATGCTTTTGAAAAAGTGGTTTATACTTTCATCATAAAGAGTCTTTATTCTAATCTGTGGAGTTGTAGATTATTTGCAACAGAGTTTAAGTGCTAGCCCCATTTCTATTACCCTTCATTTACCAGCCCACGTGTAGAAGCATAGAGTCACGTTAATACCAGCTAAAGAAAAATTTAATTCAGAAGGCAGATCTGCCAAAAACATATAGTTGCATATAGAACCAAATAAAATATGCATGTACACCTGATATTTTCGATTCAGATGCTGTTTTTGAATACTAGGGTCAATCTTCTCCTCCAGTGGCATGAATAATTGAGGGGAAGCTTTTATATTTTTGAAAATTCAAAATTCTGTTCCTTGAAGACAGTTAAAAACTGGAGGAGAGAAAATTTGCCTATGTTCAAAGCATACTAGGAGGTTACCTCAAAAGCAGTTTACACTAATCTTTTTCAGAATTTAGAATCTAAAAGCTGAGAAAGACAGCCTGAGTCATTCTGAT